TGCAGCTTTCGTCTAAACTCAGCTACTTTCGGTCGGCTAATTTGCTCTTAACGCTTTTTTCAGCCTTTAAACAATTTTCAGGCGTTTGCGTGCAGCTTTCGTCTAAATTCACCTACTTTCGGTCGGCTAATTTGCTCTTAACGCTTTTTTCAGCCTTTAAACAATTTTCAGACGTTTGCGTGCAGCTTTTGTCTAAATTCAGCTACTTTTGGTCGGCTAATTTGCTCTTAACGCTTTTTTCAGCCTTTAAACAATTTGCAGGCGTTTGCGTGCAGCTTTCGTCTAAATTCAGCTACTTTCGGTCGGCTAATTTGCTCTTAACGCTTTTTTCAGCCTTTAAACAATTTTCAGGCGTTTGAGTGCAGCTTCCTTCTAAATTCAGCTACCTTCGGTCGGCTAATTTGCTCTTAACGCTTTTTTCAGCCTTTAAACAATTTTCAGGCGTTTGCGTGCAGCTTTCGTCTAAATTCAGCTACTTTCGGTCGGCTAATTTGCTCTTAACGCTTTTTTCAGCCTTTAAACAATTTTCAGGCGTTTGCATGCAGCTTTCGTCTAAATTCAGCTACTTTCGGTCGGCTAATTTGTTCTTAACGCTTTTTTCAGCCTTTAAACAATTTTCAGGCGTTTGCGTGCAGCTTTCGTCTAAATTCAGCTACTTTCGGTCGGCTAATTTGCTCTTAACGCTTTTTTCAGCCTTTAAACAATTTTCAGGCGTTTGCGTGCAGCTTTCGTCTAAATTCAGCTACTTTCGGTCGGCTAATTTGTTCTTAACGCTTTTTTCAGCCTTTAAACAATTTTCAGGCGTTTGCGTGCAGCTTTCGTCTAAATTCAGCTACTTTCGGTCGGCTAATTTGTTCCTAACGCTTTTTTCAGCCTTTAAACAATTTTCAGGCGTTTGCGTGCAGCTTTAGTCTAAATTCAGCTACTTTCGGTCGGCTAATTTGCTCTTAACGCTTTTTTCAGCCTTTAAAATATTTTCAGGCGTTTGCGTGCAGCTTTCGTCTAAAATCGGCTACTTTCGGTCGGCTAATTTGCTCTTAACGCTTTTTTCAGCCTTTAAACAATTTTCAGGCGTTTGCGTGCAGCTTTCGTCTAAATTCAGCTACTTTCGGTCGGCTAATTTGTTCTTAACGCTTTTTTCAGCCTTTAAACAATTTTCAGGCGTTTGCGTGCAGCTTTCGTCTAAGTTCAGCTACTTTCGGTCGGCTAATTTGTTCCTAACGCTTTTTTCAGCCTTTAAACAATTTTCAGGCGTTTGCGTGCAGCTTTAGTCTAAATTCAGCTACTTTCGGTCGGCTAATTTGCTCTTAACGCTTTTTTCAGCCTTTAAATAATTTTCAGGCGTTTGCGTGCAGCTTTCGTCTAAATTCAGCTACTTTCGGTCGGCTGATTTGGTCTTAATTAGCTTTCTAACACCACGCAGAGTATAATGACCACGTCTAGTTTTGCAACACTCAATCAATTTGTTTGATGGTTTAGTTTCTTTCATTGGAGAGCGACTAAATTTTTCTCTATGGCATAACTGCTGAATATTTAACGGCAAACATTTTTTGATGAATTTTGATCAGTTCTGGAACATAAAATTGCGACAAATTTTTGGCACTTTGCTCTTTTGTTGCTTCAGCTTGAAAATTAGGTTGATAAATCACCATTTAATAATGTTTTTTTTTGTATCTGAATTTGTGTGGAAAACACTTTCGTATTCAAATTACCCTCCCACATACAGTAGTCTCAAGTGTTAACAATTGATTCTATTATAATTTTAGTATCAGTTTTTTCTTAACTCATAGTTAGTTTTTTCTTTCTTTTTCAAAACAAACTACTGTCAAGTGTAGACCAATTTATTCGATTATAATCAATATTTTTTGCATTTTTATTTGAATAAAATTAAAATCATTTGTAATTGATCATTTTAACCCCCATTTTATTACTTTGCTAAGAAACATAATCTGTTTCTAAGTAATATTATCAATTTTGGTCTGTTTATCAAAATATCGTAGAAAATACTTATAGCTATAAGCATGCGGTGAAAATTTTGTCCGTGCTCCCTGTATTTTTTGCCTTAACTAAAAATTGATGTACAATTTTAGCAGTTAATCAATTCAAGAGAAAAACGTATCACTATTGAAACTTTTTTTTTGGATGCAAATAAGAAAAGAAAAGGAAGGTTAGTTTCTTTTTTAAGCTCGGTAATCAAAGCAAGTTAAAAATTTCCAAGCAATTTTTCGGATATTTTTAAGCAATGTCAAGAAAAGTTGTTTTTATGATGAAAACCTACAACAAAACTTAACCAAATTTAGGTTTGAAATTCATTATAAAACAAATTGCATTACAATTTTTAATTTCAACTCTGTAGTTGAACTTTTGTGTATTTTTTGAACTGTATCATCTTCATTGTTCAGACCAAAAAAGTGAGGAAGATTTTTCCCCTCGGTTGTGTTAGATTTTTTGCCCTTTCTTCCCGCGCAAAATCAAATACCACAAACAATCATCGGAATGAGTCGAGTAAAATATCATCGTACAGCCTTTTTAGTCGTAATTCGAAAAGTTTTACAGTTTTGATTGAAAGTAAAACAAAATGATTCGAGTAAAACAAAATGTAAGAAGTTTGTGAGTTTTAGTCTCAGTTCGAGCGAGTAAAGCAAGCTTTGATCAACGTTTTAAGGAAACCTAATTTATCAAGTTGTTGCCCTAAATTTTTCTGGAAGCCAAATAATCAGGCAATTTTTTGCAATTTTTACTTGATTGGGGTCTACAATGAGGCAACCAATTACCCAAAATTACGCAAACAATTACCCAAAAAAAATCCTTTTTCTTGAAGACAAAAAATTTTTGTAACCTGGTTATTAATTTTTGAGAACTCTAAATTGTTTTCATTATAATAAATAATGAAATTGAATTTTTGATTAGTGAAAAAAAAAATTAGTCTTAATGGTTAGCTGAGGAAGTCTCAGATTGCTTCATAAATTAGGACTTTCTAAAATTTCAAAACAATTTTTTTTAACATATATAAATTTTAAACATTTTCAGCTTTTCATGTGCTTGAGCAAGTGGTGAAATTGGTTAATTGGGAAAATCGTGACAATTTTCATTTATTTTAATTTCCTGAACCGCTCAAGCTGCCGTAAAGATTGTAAGTAACGGTTTGACTATGGTAAGTCGCTCGACCTCCGACGCCGGGTCAGTGTTATGTTTATGACAAAAAAATCTCCTTCCACTACTTATGGGAAAAATACGTTTTGATAACAAACAAGTTCTATAAAATTACTTGAAAGTACTTGTAGTTTCATGCATAATGCAAAAATTAATTTTAAATCCCCCCTCCCCCCCCCCCCCCCCCAAAAAAAACGGAAGTCTTAACAGTAATGCATTAAAAGCGATGCCTTCTGGGTCCAGTCTTTCTGAAATCTTTGCTAATACATCTGTCAAAAAGAGACATCTCATCAATTTGTTTTCTTCTCGGCTGATTGATTTTCCATAGTTTTCATTGGTACAAATATTTACAACAAGACTTTGTCAGTTTTGCTCTCTGGCTCAACTTTTGAGGGAGAAAACTTTCGGGCGTTTTTCAATCTCAAACCCAGCAGCTTTTAGCTGCTCTTCGTTTTTTTTTGTTGGAAGTCCGTTTTAAAAAAAATAAGACGTTTTGTTTTCTCTTTTTCCGTTGAAACGAATCTGAAATTAAAATTTCTAAGAAAAAATACCCAGTTAAAGACGCAGGAAAATCATAACTAAACCTAAACGTAAATTATGCAGAAACACTTAAACGTGTTTTAATTTAATAAAATTTTTAATTGTTTTGATTTTCCAATGATAAACCGTGTGCAGAGCAATCTGCTCTTTTTTGCAAAACGCCCACAGATGCTAATTTGAATTGATTTCACGATTTGAAATCAGAACCCTCCTGGCCGAAGATCATGATGCGACTGTGCATTTTCAACTGCCGTACGGCGTGAATTTGGGGCCTTGCGAAAGACCCCCACCCATAATTTTTGTTTGAGAGGGATTGGAGTTCGCAAATTTATCGATAAAGACAGAGGGTTGCTCGCGTGGACCTGAAGTCTGCATGGAAACTGTTGACCTTGGCCAATCTAAAAAAAAGTTTTTTTTCTAAAAAAAAAACAGGAAATTAAAAATCATTGAATCTGCATTCCTAAGCCTTTAAAAGAGTTTATGAAGGTTATTGACCCGTAATTGGATAGGAAGAAGACATTTTCAGACTCTAAGCGCCAAATTGGCAGCATAATTCTTTTTGAGGCGCAGAAAGGTTTCTTGCCATACAAAAAAGTCATTATTGCTTTTGAATGGCTTGCGCGGTGGTCTGTTGGATAATTTATTATTCGCAGCGGTTTCCGGGGGCGAAGAGATTAAAAGAAGCAAAATTGCTTCATCAATCAAATTCTCCCTGAAATAATTCCCCTACCCGTCAATTATTGAGATGAAGTCGGCTTGAGAAAGCGACACGCAAAACAGTTGCCCGGAGTAAAACAACAAACAAAACAAACAAATATTATATCCTTTTTTTTAACTTCCTTCAAAATACAACTGTTTTTGTTTTGGTCTTTCCAATGGGCGTTAAAAGAGCGACTAAAAAAACCTATGTAGTTGTGGTACCAAGGCGTAAAGAATCAAATCAATTTATTGTTTGCTGTGTTTTTGCATGTTTTTACCTTATCTGAAATCTGATATTAAAAAGACGACCGTTAGATGGTATATTTCAAAGCGAGACATTGGATCATAAAAGTCATATTGTTAATTTATATTTGCATCATCAAATTGAAGCACAAATTACAAAGGCAACAAAATAGAACTCATTGCTGATCCATTTTTTTGCATATGACGTTCTTTACCATTTTGGCAACCAGAAATAAAACAAACAAAAAAGATTGGCAATTTGGTATATATACTGAAGATAACAACAAGATTTTGCATTGAGAATAGCTTTGAAAAAAAGAGTTATTTTACGTATCACTGCTAAAATATGTATTTTTTATATGCATGAAAAGCTCTTTATTTAGTTGCATCTGCGGTCTTTTTGCACGAAAATGGTCATTATTTTGGTCAACAAAAAATTCGACCATTGAGTATTAAATATCAAAGCCAATTACTTGGATATCATTAAAACTATTAAAAAATAGTTTATTCAAAAGAGATTGTAATATTTTCTGCAATTTCAAGCAAAAAAAAAGAATATTAAAATAGTGTTTATTTGTTTTTTTTTTCTGGTTTAGTTGCTAAAATTGAGTTTAGTTTACAATTCAGTAGGCATATGTCAAGTTGATATAATTTTGTGACTTCAAATAAGAGTTTATTTTTATTAGCCATTTATTAAACAGATCAGATCGGAGAAGGTGCATTTATACACTGCAGAGTACAGTCTTGGCCTGAATTGCACCAATAACAGCGATTCACATTTGATCCATTTATTCCCATGGAGGGTACAACTTGACTTCTGGTGAAGCCTCTTAATTTTACCTCTTCTTCATAGTCCGGCTGCTGTTATAAACAGGCCCTCGACCCAAATTATTCCTCCTATTTGAACCCAACAGTAGCGTCGTCATTGCCCCCAGTCAATCGCTTGATCCAATTTATTTGATCATTTTGCGCCTCAAATTTGTTCATTTGAACCAAAATTCAATTTCTTCTTTCCCTCAAATTTTATCTTTTTTGTTCAAACTTTGTTCATTTTTCCATAAGAAATCAGTTAAAATTTCCTTTGGTTTAAATTCGCCTCTTCACACTGCTTCTTGTTATTCTACTGTTTATGAACAAAAAAAGTCCCTTCGATTTTTCGCATTTGTCAAAACTGTCCAGACAAATTTCATTCAATTTGCAATAGTATCAATCTCCGACATATATCCCGTCAAACTCTCATTTGATTAGCTAGTTTTTACCCAATTCACACCCAAATAAAACCAATCCTGCTTAATCCAACCCTAGGAATAAAACTGGCGTCTCCACCTACATAAACCTATAACTATAAATCAGTCCCCCGTTGAATTACAAATCGAAAAGTGATTTTGCAAACCCATTTTGACTGAACCGGGTAATAAGTTATAAACCTGCAACTTTATTGTTCCTTAACTGCGAGAAGAAACAGAACATAAATAAAAGATCGATACTTGGTACGCTGACTACTTCATTTCAGATCTATATACTTGTTGTTTGCTAGTCTTACGGTTTCACCACGTGTAACGTACCAACAGCGTGTACCTTGAACCCATACTTAAAACAGACAACTGCAATTGTGTTGTAAGATATCTAAATTTTATACTGGGTGAAATATTTCTGCAGAGCCGATTAAGTGTATATCATTAACTGCAGTCTACTGTAAGAAACTGCTGATAAAAACAGTTCTACTCCAAATCCCAACCATTATAGCCATTGGATCTTTACTTCATTTTTCTTCTTGAGATACACCACAGAACCATAAATCATTATTAGGTAAATTTGAATAAATTATCATTTTCGAAAGTTAAATCAATTAAATTTGCAATTACTGACTTACTTTGAAAGTAATTGTTACAGATAATTTACATTTTTTGCTGAAAATAACTTTAAAAAAGTGTTTTAATCTTGATTATTGATCTTAAATTTCATTATAGTTTTTGTTATTAGAATCGCTCTTTTTGGGAGGAGATTATTGTTCGGAAGTTAGAGATGCCGTTTTTCAAGAAGAAATCCGGCTCTGGCCATAGTGTGTTTGAAGAGCGGTTCGAGCGTCACAAAAAACTAGGAGCGGGAGGATTTTCAGAAGTGTACGAAGTCACTAGAAAATCAGACAGTCAGAAGTTTGCAGCTAAGATTATAGAAAGGAAGCGACTGAAGGATAACATGGGGAATCTGGAACTGGAAATTGGGATACTCAAAGTCATCGACCACCAGAACATCGTCAAGTTAATCGATCACATAGAAGAGAAAAAGTAAGATTTTCAATTTTTTTGAAAAGGCATGCAATAAATGACGTTTTTGGGTACTACTTGGAAATTTTTGACCAAAAATTTGCGGTTTATTGGCGCGCTCTCTCCCCTTAAAATACGTATATATTAGCGCCGAAGGCGCTTTAAAAAATATTAGGGTCGATTGGCCAAAAATGAATATCTAAAAATATCCCAAAATAGTACCCATTTGGATTTAGTCAGTGGGTGTAATCCTTGAGGAGAGAAAATAGCGTCCGCCCTAACCGCCCGGCCCCTAAATCGGCCCCTACCTATTATATTTGGGCCAAAGGAACAGCGTTTTTGCTATTCAAATTTGACGGAAAAGTTCATCTGTGCTCTTATTTATGACCTTGCGTCATTTGTTTTTAATTTTCGCTTGTCTGGTCTGAGCATATCAACCGTCACATAGGTATATTAAGCCATTAACCCACTTTTGTTGAGATCAGTGTGGTTTAGTGATTATTAAACTGAATTTAAAAGACCTCACACTAGAAGTCATTGACGTAGGTTTGAGTGATGCTCCCAATTGACCAGTTTGGCCATCAGTTTGTTAAAATTTGGCTAGAGAATTTCAGAATTCTGATGGCCAAATTTTAAATAGCAGAAAGCTGGAACCACAAACAGAAAGTTCCAGAAAGTTGGAATTAATTCAAAAGCAGAAGTCACCGATTTCAGATTATTTTGCTGAAAAAGATAGTTATTCAGGCAAAAGTTCTGTCTCAAGGTCGCTTCAAACATCAATGTAGCAAGCAAACTTTATTCAAGTTTGGCAGATTGCTCTTTTTAATTAATTCTATCGCTTCCAATCTTTTGCATCTCTCTATACTAGCTCTAGGTAAGTAACATCTTGAAGAATATACGTCTTATTAGGTATAGCTTCTGAAGGGGCAAAACAGCGGTTCGCCGTGATGAGTTGTACAGCTCTTGTGTTGGTCCTTTCCCCCGTGGATAAATGGTCTTAATCTATGAAGTGCGCCTATAAGTATAACTTTCGGTAACTATACGTAATAGGCCATAAGTCTGAAAAAACTCAGAAACAAGTTTCGCATTTTCTTGTCTCAGAAAAAGTGATCAGCCACAGACTGATAAGTAATGACCTGAATCTAACACTTATGGCCGCGCAAAACCTCAAAAACAACAAAAGTTGTACTGGTACATTTGAAAAATCACACATTATGCGTAATGGACCGTCACTTACTTAAAAAAATCTCGCTCTCAAAGTTTCAAATGTTGCAAAATTCCTGCATTATCTTGCATGATTTTGTGATGCTAAGTAAAAAAGACGACATGTCATTAAGACGACAAGACATTAAGACGACAAATTAGCGTTTTTGCATTTAAAATGAGCAGTCCGATTTTAATCTGCTTAAACTTTTTAGAAGTACAATGTGGAGAATTCCGCGAAAAATTCAATTTACGACTTCTAAAAAATATTTCTCAAGGAAAGATCTGCTGATGAAAATTTTGACTGTTTGCTTTTTCAAACCATTTATAAGTAAATTAAAATTAAATTAAGTAAATAATTTGAAATGCAATCAGTTGATATCAAGCTAGGATTTTCAAAAATTTTTTCAGTATTATTTTGAGAAGTAATGAATCATTTTAGGGTTAACATGGTGGAACATTTTCTTGTACGAGAGCCTAATTGTTGATTATCTATAAGTTTTAGATAAAATCTAGAAAACAAAAAGACAAAAAGTAAGAGCAGACAGTTTCTACACAAGTTGCACTGTACAAGTTCCTACCACAATAAGAAGAAAATTTTTTATGAACATGTGTCATTTTATGCGAGTGTTATGACGAAAGGAGAAAAAAGAAAGCTTATTGCCAAGCACTAATCTAATTTTTTGTAAAAATTTAATTTTAAGAGTCAAGAAAAAAAAACAAATAAAAACAAAACTTATTCAACTTATTAATATATACCTTGATTTTTCACAAAAAATTTTCAATGACAAGGAAGCGTTCATTGAAATTTTAGAAACCAGTTCAAATTTATATTCAAAAACAAAAACTTCAACCTTTTTTTTCACCAAAAAGTTGGATTGTAAATAAACATCGTCCCCATAATTATTGATAATTATTGTGCTCTGATTTTGCGTTGAAAAATAACTAAAACAAACCCGGAGACAAAATTCTTCCCTCATTTTCTCATTTTCACAGGTCATAACAATTTGGGTTGCTAAATCAGCCACTATAATAGGATGCTATTCTACTCGTTTTTATTTATACTCATTTAGGAGCAAATCGATTCATTTCGTTTCAACTGATCGAAAGCTCTAACTTCAAGGTACGATTTTTTTTTCAGATATAAATACCATATATATTTATCAATGTTTTTTTTTGAAATTTCGTTTCCAATAAGCACAAAGGTTATATCTAATCAAAACCTTTTTTTGAAAAAATTTCATTGCAATCTTAGCGCCCAAATTGTTTTTCTATCAAATAAATTTGAAATATAAAGGTTGTTAAAACTCTATAATGTGATAAAGCTTGAAGCATTACAAAATTTTTTGTTACGCAGTTATTTGACATAAAGAAACGTATCTTAACTACATTTGCCATACAAAAATGAAAGACTATGGCAAGTTCTGATTTGCAAATTGAACTGAAAATCAAAAGTCAAGACCAACAGTCACTTTCTGTGATAGATTTAATTTCTCGCAGAAAAAAAATGTAGATGCGAGCGAAAGTATTCGGAAAAAAAAACGAAAAAAAAACGTTAGTTTTCATAATTTTCTTAGAAGTTTTTTGACGCTTAAATGCGTTGATATGATTTAATGTGTCTATCTATTTTTTTTGCTCAATCTTTAGTCATCGTAGTTGATGTTACGGTGTAAACTTCCCGCTTATAATGAAAAAAATAACTGACAAAGTTGAATCAAATCAGCATTAGCAAAACATATTCGACCAATATCTATCGGTATGCAAAAAAATACATTCAAATTAGCTTACTTTAGCTTACACGAAAATTAAATGGAACAGACAATAAATTGACTGGACTTTAATCGGAAACAACCAAAAAATATAAATTCAACAAAAATTGAATGAGTTATCAAGATAATATTGAACCGTGGTTTTTGTCGGTTTTATCTAAGCTTGTGGAAGAAAAACTCATCTTGTAGACGAAAATATTTTGTATGGAATTAAAAAAATTAAAAAACGACTAAAAAGTCAAACAAACGCTAGAAAATTTCTGCAAACCTCCAACCGAGACTCGAACTATCTGCTTAAGACGGAAAACACTGTTCTCTATGCCATCTATGTACTGTAAATCTTTTTAATTGCGTAAAATTGAACCGGCCAGGACTAAGAAAATAATTTGAACTTTTTTGGCAAGAGTTTGCAAAAAAATTGCAAAAAAAATTGCTAAAAAGTTGTGAAAACTTTTTGGCAAGAGTTTGCAAAAAAAATGCAAAAAAATTGTCAAAAATTGCAAAAAAAAATAAACTTGCCACTCAATAAGAAAATTATAAATGGCAATTGGGATGTTAGAAAGAAGCAGAACCCTTAATAGGTTCTGTGATGCGAGAACTAAAAAATAAATTAGCAGACTGGCAATAGTCATAAAAAACGCAAAATTGCGCTTTGCAAAAAAAGCGGGTCCCGTCGAATCCCAAGCTTTTGAATCCCAAGCATATGTGTTACAACTAAACCAAATGCGTAGAATGAGTTGAAATTTGAACTTTTTATAGCAAATTGAAGCTTTCATATAAACCGCTCAATTTTTGATAAGGTTTTGATACATGTCTGTTTTTATCAAACTATTTTTCCTTGTGTCCGATCACAACCAAATGTCAGATGAGCCCGCGTGTTGAATGATATTGAGGTCCTTTCAGTGATTTGAATTTTAGTCGAACATTAAAATTGGCTTTTCAATGAGAAAAATTGGTCTGAATATTTCCCTGTTCAGAATTTTTTAAGCAGCTGATTGAAAAATTATGAAAGCAAATCATTCACTTGAATTTGTAGGTTAATTTTTGCCAATCATTTTAATCACTCCGTTCATTTTTTATAACCAAATTCTTGCTGCTATCATTAAAAACTTCGCTCATTTCTTTCTTTTGTCCTTACCGAGCAAGTTTTGAAAAGATTGGACAAGAGAAAAAAAAACATTTTCTGAAAGAAAATTTTTGCGTTAGCTTATAGGTGATGGGAACAGTTTTTTCTCATTGCTCAGCTAATATTGTAACATGTAGCTTTTTTATAGACATTACCGCCACTAAATGGAAGCATTTGACAATAAAGCGCATTTTAAATCCTGGGTTATCTCCGCGGACGATTCTTTTTTAGCACCAAAGGAAACCAGAGAAATATTTCAGGGCCGGCCCAGACGGCCAAAAATAGATGCATTTGCCAGATTTTTATCAATGGTTAAATCAATATCTCAATATAACAATTTTAACGCAAATTCATAACATGCTGCTGAAGTTGATGCAATTGCGATTGATGAATCAAGCAAAGGGTTCGATCTATTTTTAAAAAGACTCTTTCAACTTGCTCTAGAAAACCAATTCTGCAAGCTTACTTGAAAACTATTGTTCTTATTGGAAAATTTTTAGCAAGGTGATGCAATGTGCCTACCTAGCATGTTAAGTGAACATATACTTAATTGACAAGAGGTGAACCGTTTCGTGAATACAAAGTTTTTCGACCCCACTCAAATGTGATAAATTTCATTTTTATTGCGGCCATTGAAATTGGGAGGAATTTTGTATTCGGGTGTTTTAGTTTTTTGTTACCCACACACAATCAGGTACTGCAAACAATCATCGGAATGAGTTGGTTGATATAACGGTCCATGTGAAAAATCTCCCCCCTAAAATTAATAGGAAATTCAAGCAGTAGGGCCTGAATTTACACCGCTCAAATCTGATTGCTTGACAAATATTACTTTAAACAAGTGAAACCTATCTCGTCTCTAAATTTATATACGTTTTTTTCCTTCATATCAAAGTCCTTTTAGTCGCGTATTCAACAACATT